TTCTTCTTGTGCTGCGCGTCGCGGACAGAAAGTTCAACTTTGGCAGCGGCAGCGGGTGTGTGTGAGCCCGCTTGTCTCTACAACTGTGCCCGCGCCTCCCTTCCTACATGCGCTTCCTACAGCATTTACAATATTACATTTTATACAGCGTTGCTCCTTCATCATTTGCCAGACTGGAATTTCCTAAATGAATGATAAAGAGCTGGATTCTCCTGCAGCCTGTTATTCATTTCAAACAGCTCCAGGCCTGTTTATTCAGCCGGAACCTGACGGGACTAAACGCCGGTGGCAATAACTGAGGATGAAAATATTAATGGAACAGATTAGACACAGTTTAGACTAATGAAATGAGAATGAAAAAATTAGTTTCAGCTGCACCGCAGTCATCCTCACTCAGAAATCTTCACATCATATCCAGCTGATATCTACGACAGGAATGTTCAACCTGTGCTGAAGATGAAAGGTCACTGTTCATTGATCAGTTTTGTAGCTCACGGTAAGTGTTTTGTTTTGCCTTCGTGTCCACAGAGTCACTGTGTTATAAAGAAGGACAGTGTAGCTTATAGATTTGATTCTGTGCCGAGGATAAATTTACGATGTCCAGAGATAACTCTCTGTCCTCACATCCATGACATCATAAAAGCGTCATGTTCAAGATCATGTTTGGGTAAAAAAAACTAACGGCTTATTTAACCGTAATTTCGATGTTTCTAAAGACGTAACTGCGTTCCAATACGTGCTTTGACATCGACAGTCTGAATGAGGAAAAAACAGACAGCCACTTCAGGCTCCGCAGGAGGGGAGGAGTCAGAGAGAAACTCAGCGTTTGTTGAAGTAACTTATGCTGTGAAGGTTCACAGCGTAAGTTGCCGGGGTTACAGAGTTTATCTGATCTCGCTCTCTGAAACCGAAAACCCAGAGTTTTCCTCATCTCAGGCTCAACTTACTCAGAGTTTTCATTAAACCCACTTTCTATTTTCATACCATGTCTTCTGAAATGATCAGCCTTCAGTATTTTGGGGAAATCTTAAGGACAGGTTGGCGTGGTCTTCTATCCACACACTTGAGATCAAAAGCTTGGTTGTGGACGGGATCTGTTGGATACTTTAAGGATGCAATTTTTGATACGGCCCCTTCTACAACCAGTTTCCTCACCCTCATCATCTTCTATTGCTTCCTCAAACTCAACATTATCCACCAGTTTCGGTTGTTCCTTCAGAGAATTCAACTGCTCGCTCAGGTGTAACACTTTCAGCATCTGAGTTATGTGTTCTCTCTTGGGTTTTGCTTCTGGTACCTGGTTTTAATCATGCATTTAGCGATTTGCCACTCTTGGCTGTTTCCTGGCGCTCCTTCTCCTTTTTCTGTATCTTTTGTCTTTTTGGCATTTTTTGCTGCAGGCATGATTCAAATGAATTGTTTAAATACTTTTTAGCTTCACATAACAAAACAACAGAATAATGAATTTTCTGAATACGTTAATGTATTGATCAAATACATTATTATTATTATTATTATTATTATGATTATTGCTATGCATGTACACACACACACATACAATAACTGACGGTTACATGGACTTAGTTTCACATTTGAGGAAGGACTGTCTGTATCATCATCATCATCATCGAAGAAAACCTCAAATACACATTCAGATGGAGTTTGTTTTAAACCTACTGTCCTCCATCTGTTTGCATCTGTAGATTTCTTCTCAATTAACCAAACATAACATTTCAGGGAAAGACTCCTGATGTAAGTCATTAACTGGGGAAGTTCTGAGGTGATTTGCTTTAGTTATTTTGTTTATCCTATTCACCTGCATTGCCCTGTCAAAAGTATGCAAATTTGCGCATTTTAGATGGGTTAAATGCAGAGAATGAATTTCACAACATGTATGTGACAATAAAGATATCTTCTCTTCTCTCTCTCATAATTTGTATATCAGTGTGACATTATTGGACATTAATGTTACTGTGTTCACCTGTAGTTTCTCCATTAAGTACAGTAGGCTACACTTTATATTATTACTATTAAAAATAAAAAAGCACCACAGAAAGAAGGTCACTTTCTCTTGAGGAAGAAAAAGGGCAGGAGCTGAAGCCCCTTTTGATGTCTATGTGTGCACGTGGTACCTGTTCTGTCTGCGTTTGAGTCCACAACCGGCTGGCCTAACACTTTTCATAGATCACCATCCCTGTCTCAGGTTTTGGTTCACTTACTTTTGTGTTGTGTTTTCTATGTTAATGTGCCATGTCTTTATTTGTTTTCCATGTCAGCATGTAAAGCACTTTGTAACTGTGTTTATATAAATATAGCTCTACCCGAGACCAGGTGCAGGCCAAAGCTCCAGGCTGACTAACATATGAGATATGACCACAGTCCACTGGCCTGTTTAAAATGATTTTCAAAGTATCCAGAAACAGAATTGGCATTATGCTCTTTTATTTATTAAGTAATTACAACAGATGACACACAGTAGTAAGTATTCTGCATTAATAGTAGTAGCAGTAGTTCTACATTCTCCTACCTAAATAAAGAATTTTGGATATGATGCGGATTTTGGACATATTCAGTCCATACAATACGGGGGTGAACAGCGGTTGGCATGTAAGCCAGTATAATGATAAAAAGATGCGAAACATTATGGGTACCCTGCTCATATTAAATCTGCCCTGAACTATTTCAAAGAAAGACCCGAAAGCAAAGCTGAGCAGAGAAGCAAGGTGAGGAGTGCAGGTACTGACAGCTTTTTGTCTGGTCTGTTTAGAACCAGAAAAACACACTTTAAGAATCCTCATGTACGTGTAGAGAATTAAAATGACAAGACCAAAAATTACTGTAAAAATGTAAACAAGTCCAAATATGTTACTGACAGTGGTGTCAGAGCAGGCCAGTTTAACGATGGAGTAGTTGTCACAGTACACTTTTTCAATTGTGTTTCCACATCGCTGTAAAGGGACACTCAGAGACATCATGACAACAGTTGCAAGTACACTATACAACCATATGAACGCAGTGAGGATTGCAACCTTGCTGGATGTCATACGTATGTGATATTGTAAAGGATGACAGATAGCGAGGTATCTGTCATAAGACATGACACCCAAGGTGAAAAATTGTACACTTCCATAAAAGTGCACACAGAAAATCTGCAGGTAACAAAAGGGAGCAGAAACAGTGTGAATGTCAGAGAGAATCTGAAGCAGAAGGAATGGAAACAACCCTGTACTACCATACAGCTCATTTACAAACAGGCTGCACAGAAAAAGGTACATAGGTTCATGTAAGCTTCTGTTCAGACAGATAACCACAATGAGCAGAAGATTGGCACCAACAATTAACATATATAAAGACATGACAATCATGAAATATAAGTATTTCAATGCCCCAGTGTCAAAGTAGGCAACAAGTATAAAATATGAAACCTGAGTAGAGTTTATCATGATCCTTCATTTGGTTCATTAAACAATCAGAACTTTATGCAGTGGATAAATAATGTTAATTATTATGTGATATTAGTTATCGATTAGTAAAGGTATAGGCTACACCTAACACTTCCACATTAACCCCACATTAACAGAACTGATGGTAATAACAGTAAACAGACTGAATCTTCATTATGAAAACAAATCAGACAAGTTACCCAAACTTCCCATTCCACAATATAAAATCTGTATGATACAAAGATAATCAACTTTAGAAGACCCAGGTGATGAGACTGTCTGCTACTCTGCTGTAGTCACACTGAGTCCCTCCCGACTGAGCTGAAACTCTTCTTCTGCTTCTTTTAAACTTTTCAGGTCCGATGACGCCCACAGCAGCAGTCTGACCTCGGTATCATAGGAGCCGCTGATTGTTGATGATCCTGATTTCAGGTAAAACAGCAAACTGTCTTTTGTGTAGATAGATAATAGATAAATTAGATAATTTAGGTAAATTATCATCCCGAGCTAGAACATAGGACATTGTAGCTGTTGTAAATGTATTTTAACAACTTGGCCACCAGGATGCACCAGGATGAAGTGAGTGAACAAAAGGAAAATCTAAATCAAATCAATATTTGATGTTACAACCACCAAGTTATATTGCATTAGCAATGTTTCTCCCAGGCAGACATTTCAATTCAGAAAGGGGTGTCCAGATGTGCTGTCCAAGCTATTTTGAAGAAGCACAAAGAAATATGGTGAGGACCATAGATGCACTGGTCGGCCATTGAAACTACAGCCATAGATGATAGACACATCATGTTTACTTCCCTTCATAGTAGAAGATGTCCAGCAGTGTCATCAGAATCAGAATCAGAAGGAGCTTTATTGTAAAGTAGTGTATTACACATACAAGGAATTTGCAATACGAAGACAAACATACAGTTGACGTAAATAAATGTAAACATATATAAATGTGGAATAGACAATGCAAGTTATATACTGTAAGAATAATGGGGGAATAGAAAAAATTAATACAACTATTTGCAGAGAAAGAAGAATGTGGTAGATATTTAAATGTAATTACTCTGGTTTGTGTTGTGCAGACGTATTGCAACGGAAGAGAATATAGTGTACATAAATATGTAAATTGGAAAAATAAATATATAGAACAACAATTAACAACAAATATGTGCAATGTTCCAGGCATATATGAAATGAAGTAAAATTTACACGTGCAGAGACATGTATATTATTTGAAAGGGGGGAGTGTCAGTGGGGGGCCCGGGCAAATATCAATGAGGCTAGCTGCAGATGGGTTGAAGCTGTTTTTGTGGGGAGAGGTTTTGACCCTGATGGACCGCAGCCTCCTGCCAGAGGGGAGAGTCTGAAACCGTTTGTGTCCGTACAGTTCCTGAAGCGATGGAAGATTGCAGCCAATCACCTTCTCTGCAGAATGAATGACACATTGCAGCGTGAGGTGAGGATGGTGTAGAAGTGCACCGTCATTGTCGTTTGTCATCATTCTCGTTAAAATGTCAGTGAACACCGGAGACAGCTGATCAACACAGTGCTTCAGGGTAGATGGGGATACAGAGTCTGGCCCAGCTGCTTTGCGGGGTTTCTGCCTCCTGAATAGCCTGTTGACTTCCCCCTCTGAGATGGAGAGAGGAGGGGAGGTGGGGAGCCGGCCAACTCTGAGGAGGGGGTGGGGTGGTGGACTGGGGCTGAAGCTGAGCGGAGGAGTCACGGGGGATGGTGCCCAATTGACTCTCAAAGCGGCAGTAGAACTGGTTCAGCTCATTTTCCCGGCGACAGTCGTTGATGGAGTGGGGGGCTTTGGTTTTGTAGTTAGTGATCTGTCTGGACCCCCTCCAAACAGAAGTGGTGTCGTTTGCAGAGAACTGGTCAGTACCGGTAGAAAACAGTTAGACCCAGGCACATCCTTATATTGTCCAGAGAAGTCTGGTCAGCTCACTTACCCCAGCTTATTCAAAGGATCAAACCACCATTAGAAGCAGTTCCCCTTCGAGGGAACTCGAACTGCGTTGGTGACGACACTATGGGAACGCCTCTGGGCGTGGCAGGGCTTAACATGAATGAAACTACTCCAATCCTATTGGTGTTGCTAGAACGGTAGCGTGTGACGGCGTAACTGGAGGCGTATATAAGTACGCCGGCACACAGGACACATTAGCCTTTTTCTATTCAGCAGGCACTCTGGCATGTTAAGAAAGACTACAGTAATCCGATCTCTTACCTGGAAGGATGGCAGACAGAGAGACGGCTGGTGAGCAATTCAGGCGATGTGTTTTCCTGTGCCCACGTTACATCACGGCGGGCGACACTCATATCCTGTGTGTTTCCTGTCTGGGGATGCCGCATGCCCAGGCAGCTCTCGAGGGGGCTGCTTGTGGCCATTGCGAGGCCCTGTCCCTGAGGGTGCTGAGGTCCCCTGCGGCTCTCTTCTCCCAAGACGACAGGATGCGCTCCAGGGCATCCGCATACTGAACTACATCGACTACTGGCTCATTCTGGCCCAGTCTCGAGAGTTAGCGGTTCGGCATCGAGATGTCGTCCTCGCCCACCTTCGGCGTTTGGGGCTGCGGCTCAACGCGAAGAAGAGCGTGCTGACACCCGCCCAACAGACTACGTTCCTAGGGGTGGTGTGGAACTCGATGACAATGTGGGCCCACCTGTCGCCTGCACGCGTCGGGTCCATTGTGTCCTTAGTAACCAGAATAAAGCTAGGCCGCTCCATCACTGTGAAACACTTTCAGAGAGTGTTGGGTCTCATGGCAGCAGCGTCCAGCGTAATCCCGTCTTCCCTGCTGCACATGAGAGCCCTGCAGTGGTGGTTGAAATCCAAGAGATTCTCCCCAAGGGGAAATACGTTCCGTCTGATACGGATTACGAGCAGGTGCCTTCGTTCCCTGTCAGTATGGAAGAAACCTTAGTTCCTGTCCCAAGGGCCCGTGTTGGGAGCGTCATGTCGCCGGACAATTATTTTGACAGACGCCTCACGGGATGGGGCGGTCGCCACGTACTTGTCAGGACCGACAACACGGCGGTGGTCGCCTATTTGAATCACCAGGGGGGTCTGCGCTCGCGCCCTTTATGCAAGCTGGCACATCGGATCCTCCTGTGGTCCCAGCAGAGACTGCTGTCCCTCAGAGTGATGTACATCCCTGGGACCCAGAATCAGGGAGCAGACCTGCTGTCAAGACAGGGGCTGAGGCCCGGGGAATGGAGACTCCACCCCGAGGTGGTGGAGTTACTATGCGAAGAGTTCGGCCCCATAGACGTGGACTTGTTTGAATCTCAAGAGACGACGCACTGTCATCTGTGGTTCTCCCTCTCGCCCCCAGCCCCGCTAGGGCTGGATGCCATGGTACAGACGTGGCCGAGGCTGCGGCTTTATGAATTTCCCCCAGTCGCTCTGCTTCTGGGGGTTCTGGAGCGGGTCCGTCAGGACGGTGTCAGCCTACTGTTAGTAGCTCCGTTTTGGCCGGCCTGAGTGTGGTTCTCGGACTTAATTTTGCTCCTAGAAGGCCCGCCATGGCAGGTCCCTCTGAGGAAGGACCTACTGTCTCAGGCGCGGGGCCTGGTCTTTCACCCTTGCCCCGCCCTATGGAGACTGTGAGTCTGGCCCCTGAGGGGGCCCAGTTCCTGGAGGCGGGCCTCACGGCAGGAACAGTCAAGACGCTGCTCAGCTCCAGAGCCCCGTCCACGAGAAGGATGTACGGCCTGAAGTGGAATGTGTTTGCCACCTGGTGCAGAGAACGAGCGTTGGACCCAGTTACCTGCCCGGTGACTATGGTACTGGAGTTCCTCCAGGACTGTTTCTCTGCTCGCCTTTCCCCATCAACACTCAAGGTATATGTGGCTGCCGTGGCTGCCGTGGTGGCGTTCCACACCCCTCTGAGGGATGGGCCTCTGGGGAGGCTTCCACTGGTCGTGCGCTTCCTCCATGGAGCCCGGAGGATGAGACCCGTGACTAGTTCCAGGCTTCACACCTGGGACCTGGTGGTGGTTCTCGAAGCGCTGGCTGAGGCCCCCTTCGAACCCCTGGAGTTGGCTGAGGCCAAGCACCTGACGCTTAAGATGGCCTTTCTCCTTGCTATCACCTCTCTGAGGAGGTGTCTCCTCAATGCCTGGAGTTTGCCCCGGGGAGGGTCAGAGCCATCCTGCACCCCTGTCCGGGCTATGTCCCTAAGGTCCCATCCAGGTTGGCAGGGTCCACGGTGCTGCAGGCGTTTCATCCCCCACCTCATGTGACGGCGGAGGACGGGAGACTTCATCTGCTTTGCCCTGTCAGAGCACTGAGTATTTACACTCTGAGGTCTTCCCGGTGGAGGAAAGCAGACCAGTTGCTGGTGTGTTTTGGGTCCCCCAAGGCTGGGCTCCCGGCTTCCAAACACACGATCAGCAACTGGATTGTCCAGACTATTTCCTTGGCCTATCAGGTGCGCGGGATACCTTCACCTATGGCCATAAGGGCGCACTCTACTCGAGGCATGGCGGCTTCTAGGGCCCTCCTCGCAGGGGCGTCGCTCCAGGATTTGTGTGATGCGGCTGGCTGGGCCACCCCTCACACCTTCATCCGGTTCTACAGTCTGGACCTTCCTTCTGCACCCGGCACCCGTGCGCTCTCCTCCTAGTCGTGCCGTCAGGTTCTGCAGGCTGGGGGCAGGCTGGGGGCAGGCAGGGTTTCAGCGCGGCCTAAGTGGGTATGTCGTTCCCATAGTGTCGTCACCGACGCAGTTCGAGTTCCCTCGAAGGGGAACGTCTCGGGTTACGTATGGACAGTATGGTCGGTCCGCCACACCTCACCCCGCCTGGTGTGCCTTGCTTCATAGAAAAGGGCTAATGTGTCCTGTGTGCCGGCGTGCTTATACAGGTGAACCAACCAATCAACCATGAGGAATATACATCATCAGAGAAATTATAAATCAACAAATGTGTTAATGATAAGGTGATCAGTAAGACAAAATCATTCCCCAACCAGAATGCCTGGATGAACGTAAAGGTGAGGGTTCTATCCAGAGCCAAAGAGCTGCTTTTTGGTCATGTGATAAAGAAGCTTACAGCACCACCACATGAAAGCTGGGCTCAAGGAGGCGAAGAAGAGACTGAAGAGAGACCTCAACACCAACAACACCAAAGATTTGCTAGGCGCCCAGAAATATCACAGGCTATGTGAGGCCACATTACCAGATGAGTATAACAGCTTTTATGCTCACTGTGATCTCCTCAATAAAGGGTCAGCTGTAACATCTACTATTCCTACAGAGGACCGGCAACTGTCAGTATCCACAGCAGATGTGAGAAGAGTCTTGCTGAGAGTGAATATGAGTAAAGCTGCTGGGATTTATAAAATCCATGGTCACGTACTAAAAAACTGTGTCAATCAGCTAGTTGACGTTATAACTGACATTTTCAACATCTCAGAGTCTCAGGAAAGGGTTTTCACCTGCTTCAAGACAGCCCCCAACATCACTGAACCTAAAAAGTCTGCAGTATGTAGTCTGAACAACTACTGTGCAGTGGCACTCACCCCCATTCTGATGAAGTGCTTTGAGTAAAAGGTTCTGCAGCATATAAAGAACAACATCCCAGCCAGCTTGGACCCTCACTAGTGTGCTTTCAGAACCAACAGATCCACAGAGGATGCCATCTCCACTGCCCTCCACTCAGTCCTCACACCTGGCCTGCCCACAGAAGTGACTGGGCCCCTGAAAAGGTCCAGTAAATGGGCCCTCCGCAAATCTGCTTTACTCATGTGAACGCATGCTGTGCTCTCTCTCTATCTCCTACATTAACACATACTATCCTGCCTCGTGCGGTGCACTTTTGACGTTGTGTATAACAAACTCATATCATTTTCAGGAGAGGGGGTTTTCATTATGAAACAGGCTACATTTTACGAAAGCAACATAAAAAATTTTTGTTAAGTTTTTTGTTATTTTAATAAGTAATGGTGAGTTTTTTGGTTCAAAATAAAACTTGGTTATCTTTGCTTACATTTAGAATGAACGTCATTAATACTGGAATGCATGCCCCAGAATACTTTCTCCTTTTTCCCCCCTGCCCCCATGAAACTGATCAACCACACTCTGCAAATTGATATTGGACTTAATAATAATAATTTTTATTTGTAGAGCACTTTTCAAAAACAAGTTACAAAGTGCTTTAACAAGTGTAAAGACAATAATACCCAAATAATAATAATAAAAAACAATTCAAGATAAAAGCAAGAAAACATTGAAAAGACTAAAATACACGTTTAAGATAAATATAAAATAAGTAAAACAGAATAAAATAAAAGGGATAAAATAAAGTCAAATAAGATCGGGAAAGGCTCTCCTATAAAAGTATGTTTTAAGAAGGGACTTAAAAGAGTTCACTGACTCAGCCGACCTGATTTCCTCGGGCAGGCTGTTCCAGAGCCTCGGGGCCCTGACAGCAAACGCTCTGTCCCCTTTAGTTTTCAGTCGAGACTCTGGAACAGACAGCAGACCTCTGCCCGAGGATCTCAAGGTACGTGCTGGTGCGTATGGGACTAAAAGGTCAGAAATATAACAAGGCGAGAGGCCATGAAGAGCTTTAAAAGTGATCAATAGAATTTTAAAGTCAATTCTAAAACATACTGGGAGCCAGTGTAATGAAGCTAAAATAGGAGTAATGTGGTCATATTTCTTTGTTCTGGTTAAAGGCAGTACCAGAGATCCCCACCCAGTGCCTCAGTCTGTCTAACATGATGTTGTGATCGGTGGTGTCAAAAGCAGCCCTAAGGTCCAGGAGTATCAGGACTGAGCACATGCCTTCATCAGCAGACATTAAAAGGTCATTGGTGACTTTAAGCAGGGCAGTCTCAGTGCTGTGGTACTTCCTAAAACCAGATTGAAACTTTTCAAATGTTTTGTTATTTCCCAGTACAGTGAGCTGCTGTTTGGACACAATTCTTTCTAGAATCTTTGCAATAAAAGGCAGTTTTGAAATTGGTCTAAAATTTTGTGGGAGGGAGGGATCTAAACCAGGTTTCTTTAAAAGTGGGTTCACGGAAGCCGCTTTAAAATAATCAGGGACACAACCAGTAGATAGGGAGCTGTTGAAAACAGAGATCAAATGGGGCCCAACAGAATCTATTACTTTCAGTAAAAACTTTGTAGGTATTACATCAAGTGGGCCGGAGGACACTCTCATTTGTGATACTGTTTTTAAAAGCTCAGACAAGTCAATGGGATAAAACTGGTTAAAACTCTCTTGTTGCTGGTGAGGAACCTCTGAGTAAGAGGCCGCGGGAGTAATAGAGGCTCTGATTGACACCACCTTATTGGTAAAATAAGATAAAAACAATTCACAGTTATCATTACTTCCAGCTGAGGCCCAAGGAGGGGTTGGGTTTACCAGCTGATCCACAGTCTTAAACAGAAACCTGGGATTGTGTTTATGTGTAGTAATGAGTTCAGAAAAATAGTGTGTTCTCGCATCCTTAACCATGTTATTGTAGTTAATTAATAAATCCTTCAGACTGAGGTAATGGACTTGGAGACTGGATTTTTTCCATCTGCGCTCTGCTTTCCTGCATTCCCTTTTCAGGCTACAAATGCTGTCATTTATCCAGGGTTGCTTACTAGCTTTAGACGTAGGCCTAACCTTTAGAGGAGCAGTAATATTTAGTGACGATATGATTGAAGTGATCGACCAGATTGTTGGTGTTGGAATCAGACAGGTGTTGGCTTACTAAAAGTCTTACTTGACAGAGATCTCACCGCCGAAAGGGATCCGTATCGGGGAGACTCGAAGCCGCAGGTGCATCATCTGAGTGACAGGGCTGCATAGCGGTTGGAGAGGCCGATGTGCGGAGGAGAGGCAGCCCCGTCCGAGCCTCTCTTGCGGCCACGGACCACCACTTCAGCCCAGGTTGACTGATACTTCGGAGTCGAGCAGGAGGAAAGCCTGGGAAGGCTAGAGGCGTCCCATAACACGGTCTCCTGGATGTTAGCGGTTGCGCTAAGAGAAACAATCTGTTTCTCTTGTACTGAAGCCACATCCATAAAGCCAGTCAGCAGGGAATCTTTCTCTTTGAGTTCCTCTGAACGTCTTCTCATGTCTTCCATAAGATCGGCAATCTTTTTGTTCGCTTTCTTAAGGAGTGTGCAGTCCTCAAAGTTAGGGGGCAAAGTTATCTCGGCTAGCATAATGTTAGTCGCCGGAGCTTTGTTGTGGTCAGTAACGTTAGCGTTGATGGTGTTTTTACGGTCATCTATCTTAAAATCCATGTTGGATCACTAAAATCCTTAACCCACGTAAAACTTAAGTTAAGGTTAACTTAGGTTAAATAAAAAGGATATAAAAAAATGTAACGAAAAAGAGTGGATTAAAACTGGATAAGAGTCCGGTTTAAGATGGAGCTTCCGACAGGTGGCTTCAGACGCCAACGCATGCCCACAAACAGACCCCAGACAGCTCAGATTGGCAGCCACACCTCCTCCACTCTAGTGCTCAGGGATGTACTGAGACTGAAATTCAGCCCGGTACTTTCAGACGGAGAGCTGATAGACCGGCCGACCAACGGTCGGGGATCAGAAAGTAAGACATTAGAAACTAAAAAATAAAAACTCTTGACCACCAGCCAGTCTGCTTCTGCTAGTGCTCAACACCCGAGCCCCCCAGGGCTGTGTGCTCAGCCCCCTCCTGTTCAAGCTGTACACCCACGACTGCAACTCAAGACAATAAAAGGACTCTGTTATAAAGTTTCAGACCATTCTCATCTCAGGGCGTCCAAAACCAATGCTTTCAGAAAAAGTTACAAAGCGTAGTTATTTGATGCTAAAGGTACCCTTCAGCGTCTGTGTGAGAAGCGTCTCGCTCCCGGATAAGTCTGTATAAGTGCCCCTATTTCTGATTCAAGATTAAATACTTTTTATGTTGTATGATCCTCTTTTAGAAAATGCTCCCCCTTAGTTGTAGCTATGCTAATACATTTATAGACTTGTTCATTCATTTGATGATCTTAAAGTGTAAAATGTGCCCAAAAGTTAGGATTCCCATCTATGCTATTGTAATTATTGTTATTCAGACTCAAGATTTGTGATAATTGACAAATACATAATATATGATATTATCATGTCTGCAAGAAGAAATTCTATCTTCAACTAGTTTTTGTGGCTTAAAACAATCATTACTAAATGTTTAATTCAGATATTATAGAGACATCATAACTGTTAACAGGACAAATGTCAAATTTAAATATGTTTTTTTTTATTTAAGCAGAGCAAATGTATCAATTTGATGAATGGTATTAAGAGTCTTTGTTTTATCAAAGATACTTCAATACTTTTTTTCATCATTCTCAGTCTGTAGCCTACAGTACAGAATTGAAGAGTGGTTGGCAAGTATAACAAAAATAAATATATATTATTATAATAATGAAAGTGCAACATGTTCGTCACCTTTTCAAGTTAGATATGTCAAAGAAAGATCCACAAGAAAAGGTAACCAGGGAAGCAGGGTGCAGGTACTGAGCTTACGGTCTGTTAAGAACCAGAGAGAAAAAGATGGACAATGATTTTAATAACTGTAACTGTAACAGAGGCTCATTATGTGAGCTGAATACTGTATATTATAGAAGAACTTTGTCATGTGTTTACAAAATCACCATTTACTTCATCCCAACTGCTATGGATCTTTGACCTGAAACCTTGGGTTTCCTTTTCCAATTCAATCCCACTATAAACCAGGGCCTTACTATACACATCTCTGTAATACTAGGCCAACAACAAGTAATAATAAGAAGGTTAAAAAATGTGGACTTCATTGAAGAACTAGTAGATTGTATCATAGGTGTTTTTATTTATTTCACATATAGTGTACCTTGGTATGTCACATTAGAATTTAAGATTTTTATATTGTGAATTTAAACATATTGAGTATCTCTCTGGGTTCTAGGGGAGTCTTCAGATATTCAAACAAATGCTCAACAGTGTGTAACAAAATAATGTAAACTCTAACAAGCCTTTGGAGTTTCAGCTGCAGCTTAAAGAATTTAGTCCCCAGACAGAGTAGTTTTTGTCACGTGTTATCAGATGGATTAAAATGCTTTGAAAACTGAAGTGTTCATTTTAAGAAAAAAATTAATAATCATTAGTAATTTAAGGAAAGGCCGATGCTGAATTGATTCAAAAGATGGTTGTTAGATTATATAGTTCAAAGTAGTACTTTCATAAATTATCTCAATCAATGAATATATTTCTTTTTATTGAAGAATTTCTGGTAGTTGTCAGATAACATTTGTAGTTAATTTTTCCCCCAAAGAGCAGACTTTTATAAACAGTGCGTATTTTGGACATTTTCAGTCCATACACTAAAGGACTGACGAGCGGTTGGCATGTAAGCCAGTATAATGACAAAAGAATGCGCAACATATTGGGTAAACTGCTCAGATTAAACCTGCTCTGCATTATTTCAAAGAAGGCCCCAAAAGAAAAGTTTAGCAGAGAAGCAAGGTGAGGAGTGCAGGTACTGACAGCTTTTTGTCTGGTCTGTTTAGAACCAGAAAAACACACTTTAAGAATCCTCATGTAAGTGTAGAGAATTAAAATTATAAGACCAACAATTACTGTACACATGTGAAAAATTCCATACATGTTATTTACAGTGGTGTCAGAGCAGGCCAGTTTAACGATGGGGTAGTTGTCACAGTACACTTTTTGAATTGTGTTCCCACACAGCTGTAAAGGGACACTCAGAGACAACATGACACCAGTAAAAAGTACACCGTATAACCATATTAATGTGGTAAGGATTGCAACCGTTTTAGACGTCATACGTGTGTTATATTGTAGAGGATAACAGATTGCAAGATATCGATCGTAAGACATGATGGCTAAGGTCACAAATTCTGCACATCCATAAGAGTACAGACAGTAAATCTGCAAGAAGCAAAAGGGAGCAGAAACAGTGTGAATGTCAGAGAGAATCTGAAGCAGAAGGAATGGAAACAACCCTGTACTACCATACAGCTCATTTACAAACAGGCTGCACAGAAAAAGGTACATAGGTTCATGTAAGCTTCTGTTCATACAGATAACCACAATGAGCAGAAGATTGGCACCAACAATTAACATATATAAAGACATGACAATCATGAAATATAAGTATTTCAATGCCCCAGTGTCAAAGTAGGCAGCAAGTATAAAATATGAAACCTGTGTAGAGTTTATCATGATCCTTCATTTGGTTCATTAAACAATCAGAACTTTATGCAGTGGATAAATATTGTTAATTATTATGTGATATTAGTTATCGATTAGTAAAGGTATAGGCTACACCTAACACTTCCACATTAACCCCACATCAACAGAACTGATGGTAATAACAGTAAACAGATTGAATCTTCATTATGAAAACAAATCAGACAAGTTACCCAAACTTCCCATTCCACAATATAAAATCTGTATGATACAAGGATAATCAACTTTAAAAGACCCAGGTGATGAGACTGTCTGCTACTCTGCTGTAGTCACACTGAGTCCCTCCCGACTGAGCTGAAACTCTTCTTCTGCTTCTTTTAAACTTTTCAGGTCCGATGACGCCCACAGCAGCAGTCTGACCTCGGTATCATAGGAGCCGCTGATTGTTGATGATCCTGATTTCAGGTAAAACAGCAAACTCTCTTTTGTGTAGATAGATAACTAGTTGGACATTTTCCTTAAAATGTCAAAATAATTTAGGTAAATTATCATCCCGAGCTGGAATCAAATTTAGGACATTGTAGCTGTTGTAAATGTATTTTAACAACTTGGCCACCAGGAATAATAATAATAATGATAATAATAATAATAATCATCCTTATTTGTAGAGCACTTTTCAAAAACAAGTTACGAAGTGCTTTCACAAGTATAAGGAATAATACAAAAAAACAAGATAAGAGAATGAAAACATTGAAAAGACTAAAATACAGATTAATATAAAATTAGTAAAATACAATAAAATAAAAGGGATAAAATAAAGTCAAATAAGATCGGGAAAGGCTCTCCTATAAAATCAGGAAGCACCAGGATGAAGTAAGTGAACAAAAGTCCACTCAAATCAATATTTGATGTTACGACCACACCATGGCAAGACTGAGCACAGCAACAAGACACAAGTTATACTGCATTAGCAATGTCTCTCCCAGGCAGACATTTCAAGGCAGAAAGGGGTGTCCAGATGTGCTGTCCAAGCTATTTTGAAGAAGCACAAAGAAATGAGCACCATATGGTGAGGACCATAGATGCACTGGTCGGCCATTGAAACTACAGCCGCAGATGATAGACACATCATGTTTACTTCCCTTCACAGTAGAAGATGTCCAGCAGTGCCATCAGAATCAGAATCAGAAGGAGCTTTATTGTAAAGTAGTGTATTACACATACAAGGAATTTGCAATACGAAGACAAACATACAGTTGACGTAAATAAATGTAAAAATATATAAAAGTGGAATAGACAATGCAAGTTATATAAGAATAATAAAGGAATAGAGAAAATTAATACTACATTTACTCATTTGGCAGACGCTTTTATCCAAAGCGACTTACATTTGAGGAACAACATACAAGCATCAACAAAGCATCAACTACAGACAACTGACAATACATACTAGTAAGAGCAGCAATAAATACTAGTAAAAGCTCACAGCACATATCACATCAATGGGGTAAATACCTAGGGAAGGAAGTAAGAGTTAACAAAAAGTGCAATCAATACAAGATCATTGTAGGGGATAGAAGAAGAAGAGCACAGGAAGTGCATGTTAGAGGTGTTATAAGAGGAATTGTTCTCGGAAGAGTTGAGTTTTTAAGAGCTTCTTGAAGTTAGAGAGGGACGCCCCTGCTCTGATGGTGTGTGGTAGCTCGTTCCACCATCGTTGTCTCACAAATGAGAATAGCCGGGACTGGGATCGCTTTGTTTGAAGGGATGGCAGAGCCAAGCAGCGTTTGCTGGAAGAGCGTAGCGGCCGAGAAGGAACATAAACTTCTATTATGGAGTTTAGGTAGATGGTGCAGACCCAGTAGTCACTCTGTATGCAAGCATTAGTGACTTGAATCTGATTCTGGAGGCCACAGGGAGCCTGTGGAGGTCACTGAGTAATGGAGTGACATGAGTCCTTTTGGGCTGATCAAAAACCAGACGTGCTGCTGCATTCTGAACCATTTGTAAGGGTTTCACCGCACAAGCTGGAAGACCTGCTAGGAGGGCATTGCAATAGTCGATGCGAGAGATAACCATGGCCTGTACCAGAAGCTGGGTGGCGTACTGAGTGATGTAGGGCCTGATTTCCCTTATGTTGTATAGAGCAAAGCGGCATGACCGAGAGACAGCAGCAACATGGTCTGAAAAGGACAGCTGGTCATCAATCATGACACCCAAGTTTCTCACCACCCTGATTGGAGTGATGGTTGCGGAGTCAATTTGTAGTTTGATGTTATGGTGGATAGATTGCTTGGCTGGAATGACCAAGAGTTCAGTCTTAGAGAGGTTTAGTTGAAGGTGGCAAGCTTCATCCATGCAGATATGTCCGATAGACAGTCCGTGATCCGCGCCGAGACAGTGGGATCGCCTGGCGGGAAGGATAGGTAGAGTTGCATGTCATCTGCATAGCAGTGGTAAGAGAAGCCGTGCGAGCGAATGATCGGCCCATTGAGGTGGTGTAGATTGAGAAGAGAAGAGGCCCAAGCACTGAGCCTTGGGGCACCCCTGTGGAGAGGCAGTGGGAGGAGGATAATTGTCCTTGCCACAAAACATTGTAGGAACGCCCCGAGAGGTAGGATTTGAACCACAGGAGTGCTTTACTCGAGATGCCCATTGCTGAGAGAGCGGATAGCAGGATCCTGTGGTTGACTGTGTCAAAGGCAGCTGATAGGTCAAGCAGGATAAGAACCGAGGATTGGGCTGCAGCTTTAGCTGACCTTAGGGCTTCTATTATAGACAGAAGAGCCGTTTCAGTAGAGTGGGCACTCTTAAAACCGGACTGATATGGATCTAGGAGGTCATTCCCTGAGAGGAATTCTGAGACCTGTTTGAATAATGCCCGTTCAATAGTTTTGGATAAAAATGGTAGAAGAGTCACTGGTCGATAGTTCTCAACTTGAGTTGGGTCAAGTGAGGGCTAATACTACTATTTGCGGAGAAAGAACAATGTGGTAGATATTTACATGCTCATTACTCTGGTTTGTGTTGTGCAGACGTATTGCAACGGAAGAGAATATAGTGTACATAAATATGTAAATTGAAAATATAAAAATGTAGAACAATAACAATTAACAACAAATATGTGCAATGTTCCAGGTTTGTGCATGATATGAAATTAAGTAAAATTTACACGTGCAGAGACATTTGTATCATTTGAAAGGGGGGAGTGTCAGTGGGGGGCCCGGGCCTTGTTAATGAGGCTAGATGCAGATGGGTTGAAGTTGTTTTTGTGGGGAGAGGTTTTGACCCTGATAGACCGCAGCCTCCTGCCAGAGGGGAGAGTCTGAAACCGTTTGTCTCCGTATAGTTCCTGAAGCGATGGAAGATTGCAGCCAATCACCTTCTCTGCAGAATGAATGATACGTTGCAGCGTGAGGTGAGGATGGTGTAGAAGTGCACCGTCATTGTCTTTTGTCATCATTGTCGTTAAAATGTCTGTGAACACCGGAGACCACTTACCCCAGCTTATTCAAGGATCAAACCACCAGTAGAAGCAGTTTTTACAGCAACTCTTCTGGACTGTTTTGAGTGCACAGTCTGGCGCATGTTGGCCGTCACCCAGGTGAACCACATCAACCATGAGGAATATACATCATCAGTGAAATTATAAATCAACAAATGTGTTAATGATAAGGTGATCAGTAAGACAAAATCATTCCCCAACCAGAATGCCTGGATGAACATAAAGGTGAGGGTTCTATCCAGAGCCAAAGAGCTGCTTTTTGGTCATTGACATTTTCAACATCTCAGAGTCTCACGTAAGGGTTTCCACCTGCTTCAAGACAGCTCCCATCATAACTGAACCTAAAAAGTCTGCAGTATGTAGTCTGAACAACTACTGTGCTGTGGCTCTCACCCCCATTCTGATGAAGTGCTTTGAGAAAAAGGTTCTGCAGCACATAAAGAACAACATCCCAGCCAGCTTGGACCCTCAGCAGTTTGCTTTCAGAACCAACAGATCCACAGAGGATGCCATCTCCACTGCCCTCCACTCAGCCCTCACACACCTTGACAAAAACAACTCCTACATCAGAATGCTGTTTGTGGATTTCAACTCAGCATTCAACACAATCTCCCCATGCAGGCCTGCCCACAGAAATGACTGGGCCCCTGAAAAGGCCCACTAAATGGGCCCTCCACAAATCTGCTTTACTCACGTGAACGCATGCTGTGCTTTCTCTCAATCTCCTACATAAACACATACTATCATCATCATGCGGTGCACTTGTGACGTTGTGTACAACAAACATTACTCATATCATTTTCAGGAGAGGGGGTTTTCATTATGAAACAGGCTATATATACTGAAGCAACATCAAATTTTTTTGTTACTTTTTTCTATTTTAATAAGTAATGGTGAGTTTTTTGGTTCAAAATAAAACTTGGTTATCTTTGCTTACATTTAGAATGAACATCATTAATGCTGGAATGCATGCCCCAGAATACTTTCTCCTTCCCCCCCCCTGCCCCCATGAAACTGATCAACCACACTCTGCAAATTGACTTCCTCACAAACAGACCCCAGACAGCTCAGATTGGCAGCCACACCTCCTCCACTCTAGTGCTCAGGGATGTACTGGCGTTTTGCTCCCGGATAAGTCTGTATAAGACGCTCTGGGGCCCAATTTGGACATTTCCACTTAGTAGTGTCCTCACTTTTGTTGCCAGCAGTATAGACATTAATGGCTGTGTGATGTGTTATTTTGAGGGGACAGCAGATTTACACTGTTATACAAACTGTACACTTGCTACTTTGCGTTGTAGCAAAGTGTCATTTCTTCAGTATTGACACATGAAAAGATATAATCAAATATTTACAAAAATGTGAGGGGTGGACTCACTTTTGTGAGATACTGGACATACAGGTACTGGTCATATAATTAGAATATCATCAAATAGTTGATTTATTTCAGTAATTCCATTCAAAAAGTGAAACCTGTATAATGTATACATTCATTCCAGACAGACTGATATATTTCAAGTGTTCATTC